AAAAAAATTTCTATTGCTAATACAAAAAAAAAACCTTCAAGTTGTGTAAACACGGTATAAGTCATTTTGGTTAGGGTGCACGAATTCGAGATGGCACGCAAAGAATCTAACAATTTTGATTTTAATTCTTTTATAGCAATTAATTAATATATTTGGTAGTTTAATGGATAAAACAAATTATTTTTATGAACGCCAAAAGACAGCTGTTCAGCCTAAGTGGCTCCTTAAATTAAACGTAGCAATTATGACAATTGTCAAATCAACTCATTTCAAGCTTTTGGCTAAAAATGCTAGTAAAACGGCTTATTCTTTAACAAAAATAAATGCAATATTTGAAATAATGTGACTAAAATCTATTTTTCCTTTATAATATCGAAAAAAGAACACATTTTGCCATCTAACGCCAAAAAACAGCTGTGCTTCCTTAAATTAAACGTAGAAGTTATGACAAATGTCAAATTAGCTAATTTCATGCTTTTCGCTAAAAATACAAGTAGAACTCTTTATTATTGAATAAAATAAATGCGAAGATTGAAAAAATATATTGACTAAAAACTATTTTTCCTTTATAATATCGAAAAAAAACACATTTTCAATCTAACAACAAAAGACAGCTGTTCAGTTTTTGTGCTTCCATAAATTAATCGTAGCAATTATGACAAATGGCAAATCAACTCATTTTAATTTTTTCGTTAAAAAATACAAGTAAAACGGTTTATTCTTTAATAAAAATGAATGCAATATTTAAAATAAATTGACTAAAAACTATTTTTCCTTTATAATATCGAAAATAACACATTTCGCCACCCAACGGCCAAAGACAGCTGTTCAGCTTAAGTGGCTCCTTAAATTAAACGTAGCAATTATGACAAATCAACTCATGTCAGGCTTTTAGCTAAAAATACAAGTAAAACTGTTTATTCTTTAATAAAATAAATGCAATATTTAAAATAGATTAACAACAGTATATACCTCTTTCAGAACCTGCAAGAATATATTACTTTTTACTACAAGAACAACTTTCCCTTTATGATAGCGAACATATATTAAAAATTAGTAGATTTTTGCTGTACAGGAACAGACCATATATGAGTAACCTTTTAAATCAGCAGATTGTACAAAACCAATGATAAGTCTTTAAGTTCGACGGGTAATCCATGGCAAATATTTCTTTGGTTAGATAAAAAAATTCGATTTTTATCCTCTTTTACGTTTTGTTTTTCCCTTTTTAAACCCAAAATAACGGTTATTAGTAGACCTTTATTTATTATTTTTAGTAGGCCATAAATTTGTCTGAAAAAAATTAAAAGTAAACAATCCTTAGAGAACAAAATTATGACACTGATTTCCGCTAGTTAAGATTCCGACAAGTAAGTAAATCTTCTTTGACAAAAAAAAAAAGAAAACATTCAAGTTGTGGTCATTTGAGTAAATATTTTTTTGCCTTACTGAAAACACAAAAAAGAAGGTGAAAAAAATTTCCGATTGTCCCGCAAAAAAGGTAGTGAATCTGACAATAGTCGAATACCACAACACACACCATAAATATTTGCACTGGCAATTTCACAATAAACACATATAATACCCAAAATATTTTTACATTTTTTGGTGTGAGATGTGAATGGTGGTGTCCGACCGACAGACCGAATGCCCAGTGTGTGTGTCCGTTGTCTGAATTATTTGTATGTCCATTGGATGAGCATGCCATAAGAATGGTTTATGCCATTTGTTGTTGCAGGAATCAGAGAGGTTGGTCAGGCATGTTGTTGTTGTGTGAAACATGAGCATTTTATAATTTAATTTATAAAATAAAAGAAGTAATACAACGAATATATTTATAAATATATACGAATGTATGTTTGTATGTTTCCTGTATAAATGTATGGATGATATTCCAAATAAATATACCAACCCGAAAAAGGAATCTTTTTCCAATGAGCAGTGACCAATTGCAGTCATACAAACAAGGTTCAACAAGATAATGAATGAAAGGCATATTATTTTGTACCTTTACACACACGCACGCACGCACACTTTCATCCCTCGGCTCTTGGCATTTGCAGTTAACAAGGATATTTACAACAACAAGAAGATTTTGTAAATTGAAATTTTTACTGGAAACACACAAGCACACACATATACATTCAACTCTTCAAGTGACCTTTATACACCTACCTATTTATACCTTATTTACATATGGTGTAAATACACAAGTTGTGTTTTATTTACAAATTTACAATATATCACTGTGTGAGTATGAACACACATACCTTGATACATAAATAAATTATTTGTTTGTATATTTCCATTAATATGAATGAGAATTGCCTTTAGTATGGAGAAAAAAATGAACATAACACCAGAATTTTTTCGCATTTAATTGAATATCAAATTACGAGTACATACAATATTTGTTGCCTTCTTTTGCTACTAGCTTTATTTATTAAAAAAAATGTGCTGCTTCTTCTTCTTCTACGAACGGTTTTCTTCTCATTGCAACCAAATCATATGACTTTATAATTGTTTGGATCTGATCTGTTGATAATGACCATAAATTCTTATAGGATTGTTTTGTGTATATTTTTTAATTGCATATGGAAATGGCATTGCCAGAATTTATATGTGTGTGTGTGAGTGTGTATGTGTGTGAAAAGAAAGTGAGCTTGTAGGCTGAGCGTAATTAAAGGTTATCGTTTTAATTAGTAAATAAACAAATGATGACCTGTGGCAGCATCATTTCGTCAGGAACATAAAGGCAGAGGCTCGAAATACCTGAAATAAGAGAAATTTAAACTCGAGTGGATCAATAATAAAAGGATTTTTTAATATTCCAACTGCTAATACAAAAAAAAAACCTTAAAGTTGTGTAAACACGTTATAAGTCATTTGGGTAGGGTGCACAAAATCGAATTCAAATGTAATGAAACAAAATTTTTTGATTCCTAATTTCAATTTATAGCAATAAATTATTATAATATAAATATTATATTTCATATTATAATAATAATATTATAATAATAAAACAACGTATTTTTATTGATTTAAAAAATACATCTTGCCATCTAACGCTAATAAACAGCTGTTCAGCTTACGTGGCTCCTTAAATTAAACGTAGCAATTATGACAAATGTCAAATCAACTCATTTCAGGCTTTTCGCTAAAAATACAAGTAAAACTGTTTATACTTTATCAAAATAAATAGTAAGGGATAGGCTTTAACTGAATCTGTTCGATTTTATCCTTCAGAATCACATAATAATGGAACTTCCTTTTAAATGTTTACATTGCAGTGTTATGTAAAGGCAAAGACTTTTGAAGGTGGTTACAGGTATTTATAGCCATTTTTTTATTTTTCTATTGTACTGGAAAAATCTAAATATTTTTATGGATATAAAGGCCTAATTTGCGGTTATAAACCAATAGCCAGCTGTTCACCTTTTGTGGATCCTTAAATTAAACGTAGCAGTTATGACAAATGTCAAATCAACTCATTTTAGGTTTTTCGCTAAAAATACGATTAAAACGGTTTATTCTTTAAAAAAATACAATGGGATAGGTTTTAATCGAATCGGTACGGCTTTACGCTTAAAATAAAATAATAATGGAACTTCCTTTTAAATGTTTACATTGCATTATTAAATTAAGCAACATACAGCTGTTGGGTTTAAGTGACACTTTAAATTAAACGTAGCAATTATGACAAATGTCAAATGAAATCATATCAGGGTTTTCGCTAAAAATACAAATAAAACTGTGTATACTTTAACAAAATAAATAAAACGTGTAGATTTTAACTGAATTGGTTCGTTTTTACACTTCAGAATAAAATTATAATGGAACGTCCTTTAAATGTTCGCATTACAGTGTTAAATCATGTGTAAGCAAATGCAAGGGCGTTTGAAGATTTGAACACGTATATTATTTGACCAATATTCGATTTATTAAATGTTTGTTAATAATACGTTTACATTTAACCAGATTTCATTAACCCAGTGGGTTTCAACTGTCATTTCCTTTGCATATATGTCAAATAAATCCTCAAAGTAGGTTAACCCGGTAAAAAAGTTCTAATGTACAAGGAGTTTAAGCCTCTAAGGATCTAGATACCAATCAAGGCCTATTAATAAGCCGGGGAGACCGGCTGGTTAGCAGCTGCCTCACAAGTTTGCTGTCAAAATTGACTTCCATTATGAAAACTTAGACAATAATATAAATACTTATGTGTGAACATGTCAAAGCACAGCTGATTTCATTATTATTAAGTGATCATAACGTAGAATACATTTTACAGTTGGCAATTAAATTTGAAGTAATTAAACGACTTTCTTCTTTAAGTCATTTAACTGGTGTGTGAACAAACTGTAAAACAGCTGATGCTATAATCATTTTGTTTTTGTTACGCAGTATATAAATAAGTGTATATATTAATATAGCGACTATTCGACGATACAGTCTCAAATATTCATAAAATCCAGATGTGTGTGAAGAAATTGTAGCATTCGATTATGCATGTGGCAAAAGTCAGCTGATTTCAATGTTAATTAGTGATCCTTTAAATATAACGCTAATAGATTGCATTTGACATATAAATTGCAAATAGTTAATAAATATTCTGAGTTTATTATTTTAACTGACAATCAGCTGATAACCTTAATCAGCTGTTGCAATACCGAATCCCTGAATACAAGTCCATCTTTAATATATTGCAAAATATTTGACAGTTGGCATATAAAATAAATTGTAACATTCCATTTAATACATGTCAAAAATCAGCTGATTTCATTGCATATGAGTGATTCTTTAAATTTAACGCAAATGGATTGCAGTCGACATATAAATCACAAATAATCAATATACATACTTAAAAGAATTTATCAGCATAAAATCTAAAATTCCGGAGATTATTCCTTCCAAGAAATATTTATGATTATTATATTATTTCCTATCAATTGTATTAATATTCATATGAAAATACTAATTTCCAATTTTTTTCCTTCCAGGTTTGGTTCCAAAACCGCCGTGCCAAATGGCGTAAAACCGAAAAATGTTGGGGCCACAGTACAAAAATGGCCGAATATGGTCTATACGGCGCCATGGTGCGTCACTCTCTGCCCCTACCCGAAACAATTATTAAATCTGCCAAAGAAGATGAGTCGGTGGCTCCCTGGCTATTGGGTATGCATAAAAAATCTCTAGAAGCGGCGGAGGTACTCAAATCGGATGACAGTGATCGTGAGACGCCCACATCTGATGATACTAATACCTCTTATTCGGCGGGTAGTACCCACAACTCTCCGATTTCATCATTTTCAATATCACGACTGTTATTCGATAACAGTAATCCAAATCATCATCCACATGCCCATCATGGCGGTCATCATCATCATCATGGTAAACATAAAGGCCATTCCGGGCATGGTGCGGGTAATGGTATATCATCGCTGTCACATGATATTATGACAAATTCCCATCACTCCAGTGCAATGCAACATCATCCCTATAATCAACAACAACATTTACATCATTTGCAACAGTTGCATCAACAGCATCAGCAACATCAACAACAACAACAGCAGCAGCAACAACATCAATTAATGATGGCTGAAGCGGCGGAATTGCAGCGTAGACGTCAAGAAGAATATCATCGGGAACAGCAGCAGCAACATTTGCAACAAAACCAACAACAACAACAGAAATCTTATGATGATGATGATCTCATCACTGATCCCGATGTTGATCCCGAAGATGATGATGACTGTGATAAGGAAGAAATTGACATCTGTGATGATACCGAAGATGAACAAATGAAGGAGAATTTGAAAATGATCAAACGTGAAGAGGTCGAAAATAGATGAAATTTATTTATTGATGTTCTATTGTAAATTGAGCGATGATTTTAAGGTGAAAATATTATATTTAATATGAAAACTTGTTCTTTGGAACCGAAGATGGGGTTCTGCAGTTGCTAAGCATTTAAAAAATCGAGAATTGGGGCTGGTACCCAATTCTTGTTTTTAAAAGAACAAAAGACATTTTTAAAATCACAATTTAGAGACTTTTGGTAATTTTATACCATCATGGCTTGATATACAAATTAATATTTTGAATAAATTATATTCTGATATATATGACAAATGCCAACATCTGAGGAATCAAAAAATCAGGACTCAATCTGAAACAAAAAATAATAATAACCACTATTGTGATTGATTAGCTTTTCAAGTGATTACTTCAAAATAGAAATCATTGTGACAGATTGCGTTGCAATCAGCTGATCATCTCGGTTGACCGCATACATATGTTTCAATTAATGTCGACTCACTCGCTATGTTTAATGAGAGTCAGTATTGTGACAGCGTTATTTACAATCAGCTGATCTCCTTGATTGACCTCTTACATAGCCATAAATGTGTTCCAATTAATGTCTACTCTGTACAGGTCTCTCTAAGCATGGTAAAAGTCAGCTGATACTTTATGTTCACCCTTAAAACACCACGTAATATATATGACAAATGCCAATAACAGAGGAATAAGAAAATGCCTTTAAATTTTATGGAAATTAAATGAAAATTTATTTCCGGAGATTTATACTAGAGAACTAACAAACATGATCAGCCTATAGATCAGCTGATATGAGTTATTCAGGTTAATTCTTTAAATGCCAACAACTTTCAAAGTAAATATCAAGGCCTATTAAAAAGTTCACTTGTGAGGATCAGCTGTTCTCAAATTTGCTGCAAAAAATGAATGAATTGACTTCACATTATGAAAATGTAAATAACATCAAAACTTTTGACATTTAACTTCAGGAACAACAGCTGTTTTTTCCTTTCTGGATGATCTTATTAATAGGCATTGTTAAATATCAACTATGAGAAAAATATGGGAATGAATGACATTTGTATAGGTTTCTCTAGGAAAATGTCACAAAATAATTGCCAATGAATTCTGATTCATTATACACCTCTCCGAAGACACTATGAGTCAGCTGATTGATGTTATTCTGGTTGATTCTTGAATTTCCACGCAATCCTTATGACAAATGTCAACAATGAGATAAAATAAAAAGGAAGTCATTATCCGATTAATTGTCAATGAATTGTAACAGTTTGATTTACAATCAGCTGATCTTTTTGGTTATAGTAATGTTTTCACAGCTGTCACAAAATAACTGTGACATTTACCAATGAATTCTAATTCATTACACATCTTTCCGAAGAGACTATGAGTCAGCTGATTGATATTATTCTGGTTGATTCTTGAATTTCCACGCAATCCTTATGACAAATGTCAACAATGAGATAAAATAAAAAGGAAGTCATTTTCCGATTTATTGCCAATGAATTTCAGATGAATACAGCGCTTTCTGAATATACCAGCTGATTATTGTTATTAAAATTCCATGTAATTTTTATGACAAATGTCAACAGTGAGAACGTCAAAATACCTTTATAGAAGCTTTTATAATATGTTGGTAGCCTAATGATTTTCTCTTTTAAAGTTCAGTGTGAACTCTTTATTACACAATTGAAATCATTTTACCTTCTGTGAACACATTATTTATCAGCTGATTGAAGCCATTTAAATGCAGTCTTTAATTGTAACGCAATCCTTGAGGCAAATGTCAACAATTAAAATAACTTTTTAATTTTTCAAGAATTAAATGAAGTCATTTGAGGCAACGTTTACATCATGACATGATTAAATAGCGCAAGAAATATAAATATTTAAATTCTTTGAATCCACGTGGAATAAAAAAATTGTTTTTACAATTAAAAGAATTTATTTTCATTTTCAAATATTACAAATTTGAACAGCACACATTACACAAATGATTTTGAAATACATAAAAAATATTAAAAAAAAATAAAAACAACACACAACGAACAATTTTTTCTCCAAAATACACACATTGATAGTAAAATTGCAAATATTATTTTTTTAAATATAACACAAAAATTGTATATAAAATCTAATGTAAAAAAATTAGTATTAATTCATAAAAAATTGCATACAAAGAAATCCACAAAAAACAACAAAGAACTAATTGTATAATTATTATATAAATAAGTAAACATTTGTTTGTGTAAGCAGCTCATTGTGATTTTAGTTTGTTAATTAATTAATTTTAAATACAATGAAACAATTGATTTTTATAAAAAAACAACGCACACACACACCATTTACCAGTACATTGCATTTATTAACTTTCACTTTTTCGCCCAACTTCTTTTTAAATAAATAGCAATTAATATTATATTTAAAACTTAATTGGAAATCAAATGATATTACAACAAAAAATCCCAACAACAAAAAATATCAACACAACATCATAAAACATTTTATATATAAAAGTAAACTACTTGTAGCCAATCAAATCATTTATTTTATTTTTTTGTAATTACATACAGACCCACAAAACCACTGAAGATGACAACTGCATATTAAAAACTAATTATAATGTTGTATAAAATCAAATTTTTTTTGTCTTAGCTTTAAACCGAAAATTATTTTAGTAATTAATTAATTAGTCGATAATTGTTTTAATAATAAAAAAAAATGAATGTGTAATATATAGAATATTTAAATAATGCTAATATTTAATATAGATTTTATTATAAATATGGAAATTATATTAGAACAAAAAAACGAATGGAAAACAACAAACAAAAAATCTCACTATGATCAAAACAAACAAAAAAATAAATACATAAACATATACAAATATATATGGAAATGATATAAAAAAACAAAAATTAAATTTGTTTTATTTAATTAAACTATTTTTTTTAATGGGAAATAAGGTGGTGGTATTAAATACATCGGTGGGAACGCTCTATTAATTATTAACATAGCAGTAAAGGCGTAGTTACATAATATTGGAAGTGACAATCAGCTGTTTTTCAGAGTTTCTCAGGATATTCACAATAAAGTTTTTTTTAAGTTTTTGTATAAATATTAAAAATGTACAAGAATTTAATAAAAAATAAATCATAGCTCCTTTTACTTTTGAAACTTCCAGCCAAATTTAAGGGAATATTAGGGATTTACTAAAAATTTTGTGTATGATAACAAAATATTAAAAACTTAATTACTTCAAACGTTGAACTCATATAAACATGCTTTATTTTATTTTATTTTATTTGTCCTATTAGATTTAAGCTTGAATTTAAAGCATTAAGCTTATAAATGCAACCCTAGTTTGAATCCAAAATATAACTCCAACCCTGTATATAATCTAAGAATTTTATCGAACTAATACTATTATCGATAACGATAAACCAATTTTGTAACCCAGAAAAGGGTATAAAAGAGCGACGAAAACACAAGAAGTCACTCATTCCGCAATCTCCATTCATTGCTGTACCCATCTGATAAGGTTGCGCAGAATAGTAATAAAGTCGGTCTTTAAAAAATAATCAAGTCGTTTATTTATTTATGAATCGGTACAAATTGCGAAGCAAGGAATTGCAGTCCAAGATAGCCAACGTTCCATCGCTCAACGAAAGGTCTTCTACAAAACGCTTATTCACTGTGATTTCTATCAACTAATGCTGTTTTAATAATGACTCTCTAAAGTCATGGTAAATCAGCTGATTGATTTTATTTTGGTTGATTCTTTAATTGATACGTAATACAAAGGACAAATGTCAACTTAGTAGGAATAAATGCACTTTAATTTTTAGAAAATTGAATGAAATGTTGATTGCAGCAGTTTATTCTCATTTAAATTGCTTTAAAAAACTTGTAAAATATTGTTATTGCTTAATTTAAGGTGCACAAACCAAAATATATCTATCTATATTCTTAACCAATTTGACGGAATAAAATTGCATGAATGTCGAATCTTCATTGGTGCCCTGACATCAATTGAACGATTTCCTGGAAAGACCGTATAAGCCATGGCACAATAAATAGATACTCCATTTAGCGCAGCTGACTATCCGATTAACTGTCAAAGTGCATAGTTTCTATTTGAATTCGACGTGTAATGTTGCCAACCATCGATCTTGTAAAATTTGATAGATGGTCAGATAAAAAATAGTTTATTTATTTTTTTGATTAGATACATCTTACGAGGGCAGTTCGGAGAGTTCTTAGCCTAGCACAAAAAGTCTGGTATAAACAGAAAAAAAGTTTAGTGTTTTGGAAAATTCAAACATGTTAAATGTTGTTTCGATATAAACAGGTGTTCAAAAAAGACGCATCCGCAATTTTTTCAATGAAATCACGCATTTCCAATTTTTTCATTGTAAAAAATTGCGGATGCGTTTTTTTTTTGAACACCTGTTTCTATATGAAGGAGTTGCCAGATATGTTTTTTTCTGTTTATACCGCGCTTTATGTGCAAGGCTAAGAACTTTCCAAATCAGCTGATTGATGTTATTCGGGTTGATTCTTTAATTGTCACGCAATACATAGGTCAAATGTCAACTTATAAGATCAGAAATTCAAATCTGAAAAAAGTCTTCAATTTTGTGAAAAATCTATAAAATGTTTATTACCGATAATTTAAATTAGCCACCGCAACATAAAAGGTAAATACATATTACAAAAAAATTCCAAAGAATTAATCAGCTGATTGGAATTATGTATATTCCGCGTAATTTTATAGGACAAATGTCAACAATGGAAAAACAAAATAGTTAAAAACACAATTTTTTAAAAATATTTTTTGATGCCAAATCTAAAGGACCCCAACCAAAACATATCTCTCCTTAGAATTATTTCCCCCTCTATCGTGTGCGAGTAAAATTACATCGGTTTTGATGGCTATCAGTTGTTTCAAACTGATGCTAGATTTAGGCGTAGAGAACTATGAAATTGTAAACTTTTTCGTTAAAATTTTTTAATCATCAATAACTTGGAACCGTTCCCCTT